CCCCCCACCCCTCCCCACCACTCATTTCCCTCTCAACTCTCTCTCTCTCTCCCCACCCCTCCCCTCCCCTCCCTCCCCGCCGGAGGGAGAGCGACGCCGCTCCCAGCGCGCGGACGTGGCAGCGGCGGCGCGGCTCCCCTCCCCTCACCTCCCAGATCCGGCCAGAGGGAAGCCGGGGAAGGGCGGCGGCGGCGAGGCGAGGCGCAGGGCCAGCCACGTCGGCGGCGGCGGCGCGGCTCCCCTCCACTCCCCTCCAAGATCCGGCCGGAGGGAGGGCGGCGGCGGGGAGGCGCGGGACGGTGGCGGCGGCTCTGGCGCGGCTCCCCTCCCCTCCCCTCCCAGATTCAGCCGGAGGGAGGCCGGGGGGCGGCGGCGGCTCCCCTCCCCTCCCCTCCCAGATCCGGCCGGAGGGAGGCCGGGGGAGGGCGGCGGCGGCGAGGCGCGGGGCCGGCGGGGCACGGGGCGGCGGCCGTGGCTCCGGCGCGGCTCCCCTTCCCTCCCCTCACAGATCCGGCCGGAGGGATGCCGGGGGAGGGCGGCAGCGGCGGCGAGGCGCGGGGCCGGCGAGGCACTTTTTTTTGTTTGTCCAGAGGATTTTCGCAGGCGGGCCATTGGATCGCCTGCAAAAATCATCGATTTTCACAGTCGTTGGTTTATATGCGGTCCTTCTCCCACCTGGAAAAATTACTTTTGGCCGCCTGTAAAAATACTTTTTTATAGTGCCAGGAACAAAGAAAAAAGATATCTATACTGCAAGCCATGAAAAAAAAATATAGTGCAAACTTCAGCTGGATATAAAATAAACATTTAGGATTTGTTCACGTCACTACGTATATATAAAAAAAATTAAAGAAAACACCCACTAGACCACCCTCTATGCACTCTCTCTCTCCATCTCTCCGTCTCCCTCTCTCCTCATCTATCTTCCTTCCCTCTCCCCCACGATTCTTGCAATGACGATGGGAAGCCCACATCAATGGTTAACAGCGTGCGGCGTGAGTAGATCTCGCATCGGTGATGGGCGACGAAACTCGCATCGGCAATGGCACGCTCGATCCGCCGTCCCTACCCTCTGCCATCACCTCCACCGTCCCTATCCCCTCTGCGGCCACCCCGACCTTAGGATGCGGCTTCCCTGTTCCTGTGTTATGTTCCCCTCCCTGTCCCTGCCAGATGTCCTTCCTCTATTGGCTGCTGCTTTTCTAGTGGACCTAGGCCATGCGCTCGTTTTCTTTTTTAACGTAAACGACGTTAGCATCCGGGATGGCTCGTTTCTGATCGGTGCCGAGGTTGCCGACCAATGTTCCACGCGCCAAATGGTGAGCTGTGACATGGAAGCAACGCAGCCGGAGTGGCCGACGCCGCCGGAGGCCGCGGTGACCAGGACAGGGTGTCCAGGGCGGCGCTCATCGTCTTGAGCAAGCGCGGTGACAGCACGGAGAGCGGTAGAGATGCATCCACCACCGCTATGGATCCATGAAGTAAAAAAAAAATCCTAGCGCCCAGGAAATTTCGAAGACGCTCACTCCCCCACCGAACGCCCGAACGCCACGACTTCTCCGGCGAGATCACTTGCTCATGTGATTCTTTTAGTTTCCTAGTGCATATCATCTTAAATTCTTAAGTATTACCTGAAATTGATTGCTGGAATGGTCGAACCATGCCTGGCTACCCTTGTCTCCCTCATCGTCCTCTCCAACAACGATATCCTCCTCATCAACAAATCAACAATTAATGGCCTCAACTTCTGTGTATCACCCGCCCGAGGTCGGGATGGATGCTATGGGAGGTCACATTCTTCAACGTCAGCTTCAACTCCCTCGCTGGCCCGCTCCCACCGGAGGTGCCCGGGATGTAGAAGGTGGAGTAGCTCGATGTCGCGCACAACCACCTCTCGGGCACCGTGCTGGAGGCCGTGCGGCCTCCCCCTGCTCAGGAACTTCACCTCTCCTATAACTTCACCGGTAAGCAGTCGTCCTGCACACGCATATTGCCCATCGATGGCAATGGCAAGCACTGGAATTGCCTTGCCTACCCAATTGCCCCGCCTAGGGCACGCCGCTGCAGTGTAAGGGAATTAGGGAAAGAAAACGGAGATTGCTGCTGTTTGCTTCAAAAAGAAACGGAGAGGTTAAGCCGTTTAGATAAAAAAAAAGGAGCGTAAGGCCCTAGGCCTGCTGGAAAAGTGATCGCCAATAGAGCGAGGACACCTGGCAGGGGACAGAGATAGGAACACACAGTCGGAACAGGGAAGCCGCATCCCCGACCTTGCCGGAGCCTTGAGGGGCTTCGATTTTTTTCCTTCGCTATTTCCATTTTTTTACTCTATATGATTTTTTTACTCCTAAGATTTAACTAAGAGTATTTTTTTACTTTGAAGGAGGAGAGAGAGCGAAGAGGAAGGGAGTAGAAAGCTAGGGACTAAAACGTAAAATGTTACCAGTAGAAGGGCGTCCCCTTTTTTTCGAAACCTCTAATGGGCGATCGATCGCCCTGGCTATGGGGTAGCGATTGATCCCCTCCCCCCTCCCTCCCTCCTCCTTTCACCTGGTTTCTTTTTTTGGCGCCGCATTACTTTCCTATTTTAGTAAATTTATGCACCTAAAGTTTATACACCTCAACTTTACATATCTAAAGTTTAGAGACCAAAAGTTTATAAGTCAAAAGTTTATATATCCGATTCAAATTTGAATTTGAATTCAAATATTTTTTATATATAGTATTTCTATACATCTAAAGTTTATACACCTAAAGTTTATAGACCTAAAGTTTATAAGCCAATAGTTTATATACCCATTTCAAATTTGAATATGAATTATATCTGATTCAAATTTGAATTTGAATACAAATATTTTCTATATATAGTATTTTTATGCATCTAAAGTTTATACACCTAAAATTTATAGACCTAAAGTTTATAAGTCATAAGTTTACATACCCGATTCAAATTTGAATTTGAATTATATCTGATTCAAATTTGAATTTGAATTCAAATATTTTCTATATATAGTATTTCTATACATCTAAAGTTTATACACCTAAAGTTTATAGACCCAAAGCTTATAAGTCAAAAGTTTACATACCCGATTCAAATTTGAATTTGAATTCAAATTTTTTATACATAATTTTTTTCTAACTTTTTAATTTTTTTAAAAAAAATTGTGTGGTGTACTGTAGTAGAAAGAGAAGAAGGGGAGGAGAAAGGGGGGAGAGGAGGGAGGAGTGTATCGTATAGGGGAGGGGGTAGACGGGTGATCACTGGGCGGACGAGGGAGCGATCACCCGCCCATAAGACGCCCCCGTTTTTTTGGGGGGTTCAAAATACGAGGTGGGGAGAAGGGAGTAGTGTGTGGGATGCCATGGATAAAATTTATACATCTATTTTATATCTAACAATAGTTTACTAATTTGCATTGTACATAGAGTTTGCAGAACAAATTTCCGAGCAAACTTGTCGAAATGTCTCTATGGACCACACACACCCGTGGGCTGCGTTCTAACCCTGCCTAAGACTGGGTTGGGCTACACAACCCTGAAGCCCTTAGCTTAGGTCCAACTGTTTCACTTGGCCCAGTGTAATTGCGATGCAAGCTGACACATTTGAGCCCATGAAATGGCAAGGCCCAACCAGCCAGCCCATGGCCGCCCACTTCACCTTCTTCCTCCTCTGTTTCTCTCTTCTCAACTTGTTCCCAAGTCTCCTCGCAAATTCCAACAAGAGGTTGCTTTCCTCTGCATAGTTCACTCCGCCGCCGAGGCATGGATCATGAGTAGCTCTCCGAGCTTACTGACAAGGCGATGGACGATGCTTTCCATGTGTACTTTGATAGTACAATTTGTCCCATCAGCATGTACATTTGGATCGCAACAGTTCAGAGCTTCCAAAGAACGGGTGATCGAGGCGCCGTTTGTCGCGAGGTATCTTCTGATGTTCCCTTCCGAGAGAGCCTTGTTTGGAACGGAGAAATTTCACGGGAAGCCGCAGAGATTTAGGTGCAGATTCTTAGTTTAAATTTTGAGACCTATATAATGTGAAAAATGAACTTAATAGTCTAGTACTAGCCAAAAGCTTTTCATCCTCTCGAGTTGGATACTCGCAAGTTGTTTCTCAGAATATCCAGCTTCTCCAAACACGACTTTAGAATTTTTCTAGTTGGTCACGACCGCCAAGGACACCGAAAATATTTTCATTCTCTCGAGTTGATACTCACTGGCTGTTTCTCAAAATATCTAACTTCTCCAAACATGACTTTAGAAATTTCCCAGTTGGTCACGACCGCCAGGGACACCGGTCGACCATCAGCGATTTGACATCGAGGATAAACACGTTATTTCCTCTATCTCAAAATAAATAAATCTAATATCAAATATAATACATTCTAGTACTACATTACATCTCGTGCTAGGCTTACATATTTATTTTATTTTAGTACATAGTATAAGGTTGTGTTCGCAGAAGGCGGTTCCCAACCCAAACACCGCGCATGGAAAACGGAGCGGCCATTACCACGTGATTAATTAAGTATTTGCTAATTATTTTTTAAAAAATAAATTAATTTGATTTTTTAATGTAACTTTCATATAGAAACTTTTTTTTAAAAAAAAACCGTTTAATAGTTTGAAAAACGTGCGCGCGTAAAACGAGGAAGAGAGGTTGGTAAAATGGGCATCCGAACACAGCTTAAGTATCACACCCTGCCGGGGAGGCATGCAGTTGGCCTTTTCAGCCAAGGTTGATGTTTTCACTGCCGGTCTCTGACAGCCAACGCATTGATACAATGGTGGTCTCTGACAGCTGAGGTATTGAACCACACTGGCAGAATCGTATGTGCCGGCACATGCCCATGGAGAAAAAGCTAGAACTTGGACCATGCTCAACTTGCAGTCGCGTACTTCGCCATCGATGCGTGCAGTGCAGCAGATCTTCAGAGCTGAGCTTGGAGTCAAATGCTGATGATTCAGAAACCACCCTGTCACTGACAGACTTGTGCTCATGGTCATGGTGAACAGTCAGGAACTCAGGATTGAACATGTAGTAATTGTTCAGAAACTCACAAATCCTTCTATCAAGTATTTATGTAGATTATAGATACTATATAGTCGTTCTCAAAAAAAAAAGATACTATATAGTTGTTCATTTTGTCAGGGATGAAGCAAAAATGAAACAATCTCCTCTCCTCACACTGTCACACACCCACTATCTCTCTCTCTCTCATTCGGATTGTCAAGGTAAGAAAATCAATCTTGAAGTAATTCTCGGTCTTCAGCTTGTCACTATAATACTGTCATTAACTCTGTAAGCACTAGCTTGTGCTATAAGAGTATCTTGCATTCTTGCCTGCCTTCCATTTGTCTGTTCGTCTGTTCCTTCTCTTTTTTTGGTCATTCTCCTATGGACCAAATCCACCCAATTAAAGAATTTAATTAACGGCCTGTAACTGTATTGCGCCGTGGCCGTTGGGCTACTGGCGAGGCACAAGCTGACACTGCTCGGCTGCGGCAGCGGCGGCGCCGCCGTCACAAGTCCAGCTCGAAGTGGAACGCCGGCGACGCGTACGCGGCGAGGTCGCCGAAGAACAGGCCGTCCACGTCGGCGTATCCCGCGCCGGCGGCGCCGTCCTCGGCGGCGCAGCCGAAGTAGGTCTGGATGTCCTCCGGGAAGCTGCACTGCGGCGAGGCGCCGTCGTCCTTGGTCGCCTGCGGCGGCGACGGGGACGAGGAGGAGGTGGTTGTGCTGCTGGTGGTGGTGGTCTCCGCCGCCGACGTCCGCTCGATCATCTCCTTGAACTTGGGCGACTGCAGCAGCAGGCTGAGCGCCGACGTTGTCGGCGTGTGGCCGAGCGAATGTCTTGCCGGGATCAGCTGTGCCGCCGCCGCCGCGGCGCCATGGCCGTCGTGCTGGAACGACGACGCCATGGCGTCGAGGTCGATCGCCGGGAGATCCTGCGCCGACAGAGCACCCAGCATGGGGTGAGGATTCTGGGGAGCGCCCGCGCCGTCGGCGCCGGGCCGGAGCCACTTGATGTACCGGCTGAGGTCGAAGTTGGTGACGGCGTTCAGGCCCCGATACTCGATGGCCGCCATGTCGTACGCCATTGCCGCCTCCTCCTGCGTCGCTGCAGTCAAGAAAGATTCGCTCAGACAATGGCTGACGACGAGATTGCTAGTACGAAGTTGGTAGCATCGGCTATTCGACACCCCAAACTTCCTCATTTCAAGATTCCCATGAGCACCTGTTGTAAGTCGCTTTAAGTTTTTTCTAATTAAACTTTTTAAAATTTAATCAAACTTATCAAAAAGTATAGTAATATTTTTAACACAAAATAAACATATTCTAAAAAAATTTAATAAAACTTATTTGGTGTTTTAATGTTGCTAAATTTTTCTATAAACTCGATTAAGTCAAAAAAAATCAAAACGACTTATAATTTGAGTTATAAAACGGAGGGTATCTTTTTTTTTAGCAACGACAAATTTTGGCAAGATTGACTTTTGGTACCAAACCAAACACTTCGTAACTAACCTATTGTGATTTTTTTTTTCAAGATTTGGTAATTTCAAGGGTAAATTTAGTTTAAGAAGACCATTTCTGAAAAAAAAATACCATTGTTTTTTTTATTTTCAGACTTATTCCTTTCTTCCCACATTTCTTAAATACTCCTAGTTCCTAAATTTATTTATTATGTTCTCCAATGGGAGGCAACAGGGGTGATGTAGTGATACTATACACTTTTGTTGTGTGTGCAGTGTGTGGCATGACAAGCTCACACCATATCCATCGTGTCTGTATGGCTCCATTCTGATCTTTGGTATGTATTAATTATGCTAATGTTTGGATTAATGGATGTGTAGCCTTCAACTGGTGCACACAGAACAGAGGGGCCGTTGGAAGTTGGTCTTCATGGGGTCTACCTCATTGAGTCATTGCATCTAATCCCCAACTAACTTGGGATTTAAATTGCCGGGAAATGTCCTAAATAGCCTCACTTCACTTCCTGCCATTGCTAGCTCAACTACTTCGATATAGATCATCCCCATCCTTGCCCCATTGAGCAACTCCTGGTGTATTTAAATTAGTGGGGGCACCACATACTAGTTTCTCTCTTTTCATTTGTGTGGAGTTTCATTCTTAATTAGCTATGGAAGAATTTACGGGGATGGATGTTTTACAGTTCGTTCCCTCCAGTTAAAAAGTTATCTTTTTCTTTCCAGGTATACATCTAGACAAACTTTTGGAGCTTTCAAGTGTCCATGCCATTTTGATATTAAATCGTATGCATAGATTGCCTTTAAATCATTTCAAAATATGTTGTCTTTCTGGGCTTCTGGCTTCACAAATAAAATATAATTTGGTGATCAAAATTGTTTTTTGAATACCATATCACTATCTGAGACGATGGCATGCCTTTTTCCTGACCACAGGAAAGTATTTATATAATGTGAAAAAGAGTAAACCGTATATCAGCGTGTTTCTACCCTTAGTTTCTCTTTCTGCTTTCTCCATGCATGTTCCCACTTGGAAAGCAAGGATTATGTAAGAATTTTGATGCAAAACTCATGTGAGATGTGATGTTCCTCACAAATGCATATGGAAATCATTTGTTGCAATCGTGGCCTAATTATTTGGACCGGAGATTTTGGTGTTGACACATGAGAGCAACTGAACACAGTGACATACATCACAATCTAATCTCTATTGACAGGATCCAGCCATTACAATCACTGGATGGAGAAATTAGTTGGGGAATTTGTACAATGTCAGGTGATATGGTTCAATGCAAGGGGCAGATCCGTCACTATGGCGATGTGCACCGCCAGAAAAGTAGACAGAAGCTAACTCCGGTGACTTGCACTTAATACTACTCAGATTTGGCTTTCAAGAACTTTGACAGGAATAGAGTTTATGGGTGAAGGAAATCTAGGCATTTATAACTTATAAGGCTGTTGTGCTGTTAAATTTTTCCTGGTATTTTGTTTTCAGAGGTACTAGTGATTTTGTGGCAAGAAATTAACATACCGTAAGTACCGAGATAGAGGTACTTGTTGCCAAAAACACGGCCAATCCGGGCCTCCCATCTCCCATTGTGATGGTGTCTGAATATTTGCACGAATTTGTGATATGAGAAATTTTCAGTCAAGTTGTCTTACATATTTTGGATTCCATTTGGAGTGTAGTAATTTGGAGCTTCTAATGATTACCTTGCAACGCCTCGGTACTTCGATACTCCTCTTGAGAACCCACTGCTTTTCCTGTGAAAAATCATACATATGAACCATATGGTTATGAGTTGTAATTGCTAATTTAGTTTTCAGGGGATTTAATTCCGTTAATTTCTTCACGGAGAATTTTCTTTTAGAGAAATTCATTGCATGTTTGTCTACTTGAGAATTACCTCCTTAGGGATCCAATATACTCTTCCCTTGATTGCCCCTCCATTTCTTTCAACTCACCTTCATATGCAGACAACTGTACATCATAATAATAAACGTGATAGTTATACAAATGTCACGAAAAAATGTAAAGCGCAAAGATTTTGCGCAGATGCAGTGCGCTTTATCAGATGGTAAAAACCAGTACCCTCATCACTCATGTCCCAAAGAGAGATTGTCATCATTCATGTACTTTGTATTTAATCGGTTAAATCGTAATAAAGACATGAGCTTTTTTAAAAAAAAAAAACACCCTCGCTACTACTACTAACAACGACAATAAAATTATCATTTTTCTACCAAACATGAAGCACAGGCTATATTCTAACAAGGCATAGATTGCGCTCCTATGATACAGCATCGGAAACATTTATTCGACGACTTATCAAGTATAGGTGTACTTTTAAGGGGATCATGAAGTAGCCCATGATCGAATTGAACTCGCGGGAGGTGCGGGGAATTCAAGCCGGAGATCCATCCACCATGGGACACACTGCCTCACACACATACACACAGAGTGTGGCAGTGCAGTGTGCTGCTGATCTACTCTACTGACTGCTACTGTGCAACAACATGCTGTTGGAATGTGCAGGGGAGTAAATTTTCCTACCGGGAAGTTGAGGATGGTGTCGGGTCCCCAGTACTTCAATGCCGCCAGATCGTACGCCCTCGCCGCTGCCTCCTCGTCGTCATACGCCCCTGCAACGAACAACAATCGGACGCACCACCACGCTAATCACACACTTATCACTAACACCCCAGCTAATTTTTTCTTTTTTTTTGGAAATAGTGGATCAACTGGCTGGCTGTGTGATCATGCCAAGGCCATGACCCGAGAGCCTCACGTACGTACCGAGGTAAACTGCATGCACCAACAGAAGAGAGGGATTAGTTGAGGCGAGTGATTAAGCAGGGAGTGGTGATTATATCAGTGATTAAGCGTACCTTGCTTGCCCTTCTTGTTCTGGGACTCGTTCCAGCTGTTCTTGTCCCACAGGTGCGCCTCGAACCGCCCCGTCCACCGGTGCCTGCACGTCCGAAACCACGCGGCGGCGGCGATCGATCAGCGGCCGGCCGGAGGAGCAATGAGCAATCTAATTAACACGGTGGCTCGATCGATTAGCTCGGTTAATGATTCGTTATAAAAAGTTACCGGGTGACGCCGCGGTAGACGGAGCTGCGCTGGGAGGGGGACTCGCGGGGGACGCTCTTCCGCGTGCGCTTCGGCTTCACCGCCGCCGCGGCGGCGGCGGCGGCGACACCGCTGCTGCTGGTGTTGGTAGTGGTGGAGTTCTTGCGAGGCTTCGCCATGGATGGAGTGCAGAGCAGAGGAGGGAGCGAAGACGAGATGGTGGGTGACCAACTATGGTGGCGTTAACGGAGGTGGCAGTTTTAAAGAGCGGGAGAGGGGGGAGGGGTGATGGGGGGCGGCAGAGGTAGTTGGTGTTTGGAGCTCAGGGCAGGCGCCAAATGAGAGCAGGAGGAGGAGGGAGAGGGAGAGAGATGGCCGGCCTCTTAAATCTTGACAAAAAAAAAAGGAGAAGGAAACCTTCCTGGATCTGATTAAATGGCCGTCTAAGAACGGCCTTCTCCTCTTGTCTCTACTCTGCTCTCTGCAGGTTTGCTGGTTTTCAAGCCTGCAGAAACATCGTAGTTAAGGGGGGTTAATCTACAGCTGCGTTGGGTGTAATGTGGTTAATGCACAGTTGTTGTGTTTTAAGCTTACTGTGGGATGGATCATGTATAGGATCTTGAAACAGTTTAGCTGATGTAGGAGATAGATGGTTTTTATTTTCCAGCGTAGTTTTGTGCATAGCTAGATTTTAAAAGCATAATGAGATTTAATATATAACTTTTTGGTTCTGTTTCGATAAATTCAATTTTATTTCGTATATCGATTTTATTATAATCTGGACTCAGTACGATTTCAGATAGCGCATCTTTCTCTTTTTCCAATTAATGTTGTAATTTTAGGTCTTCTTGGCATACATGGTGTCTCACTCACATCCTTGCTTTGCTCAGTAATACAACAGATAGATTACGTTCTAAACAGAAATCAACTGCACGGAAGATCTCTTAATGGCAAACTATGGGCAGGCTGCTTCTAATTGACAAAGCGTTGTCTAATCAAAGCGTCAAATAGGACATGTTGCCTGAAGAGAATGTTTGGCTTGATGCCAAAATCAACTTAAGATTATACTGGTACTATAGAGATATCTAGGACTGTAGAAGTACGTTTGGTTTGATGACTTGCCTTTTTAGAGTGGTTTTGAGAGCGGATGTTTCCAGAGTTACCAAATTTTGGTGTGGTTATAGTATTTAAAATATGTTTAATCCAATTACGGTTCAACTTCATGATAAATCGATGCTATTCAACCAGAAAAAAAAAAGAAGAGGGTGGAACCTACGCTGCCTACCTCTTTTATATGAGGCTACGAGCACAGCGTCTAATTCTGATTTGTAAACCACAAACTTTTAACATCGCTGAGCAAAGGAGTTTGACAAAAACCAGAAAGTGATATCACTCTTAAGTGACTGGTTAATATATAGCCTTAATATAGCCACCGTAAGTGGACTTGTGTGCAAGTGTAAAGCAGCATATGTCACAATTGACTGAAGTGATTTCTACAGTCAGCTCATTTTGTTGGCCATTTTAGACATCATAAAGCATATATTATCAATTTGTCATGTAAATGAATTATTTCCATGGCTTTAATTCCTTTATCGGACGCTTGTCAGTGGTCATATCGTTTTCAATTGGTGAGAATATGGGCCGGACTTATGAGTTATGGCAAATTGAATCAACTCCCAACGAATCTGGACCGTCCGAAGTCATGAGCAAGCCTCTGCCTTAAAAGCGATACATTCCTCCCAATTATGGCACAACTACAATCTGTGACATACTTGCTGACACTGATGTGTATATCCATCAAAACTAGAGGCCAGAAGCTCAAAGACTGATTGTAATAGGTTGTGCAAACATCTTCTACTTAAACTTGTCGCCACTAATATGTGTCCTAGAACTGATTTGACACAAATCTGTGCTAAATAAACTCTCTCCCGGTCTCAGGACCATGGCCTTGATCATGACTGCAACGGCCTAACGTACTTCAGCAAAGTTACGGTAGAAGATGATGTGGGATTGACTTTTCAATATTTTGGACATTCATAAAAATGAAGAAAGAGAGTTGATAAAAAAAAAAGAGTCGCAATCGAGCAGACCAACCTTGGAATTCAAGTACCTCGGCAAGGCTGGAGAGCATGGGCCTTCATCGAGCAATCGGATGTATTTAAGATAGTAAAACTGGAATCTCCAAAGCAAATTCGCGATCTGATGGAGCATATGAATATGCCTTGTCACCGAGGTGAACTGAACATGTTGTACAGTGTAGGTGACCAGGAGACACATGCTTCTTGTTCTCAGTTCTTTTTTGGTTGATGTAAGCCTGTAAGACTGCAAATGTGAAAAACATGAAATAGATAAAAGCTACAAAGAAAAGTTGCTGGCAATTATCCCCTGATGCGTTTTATTGACTAGCGTAGCAAGTATGCACGTGCTTTGAAGTAGTGGTGAAGTGTTATTGCTTGACTGGACAAAGTAAATCGGCAGGTCCAGCACCACATGCATATCCTATTGTGTGTCACTATTTCTGTTGTGCTAACACAAACTCCGACAACATCTCAAGATTCCCAATTGACAAGCACTTGGACCCAGACATATTTCTCTGTGATTGAGAGTTTATGGAGTCTGCCAAGTGCATTGTTGGGTGACAAATTTTCCAACGTGGGTACCATTTTCATCCAAGCCTACATTGCACTATTCAAGAAGACAAGAACTTCTTTCATTCTGCTGGTCTGTTCTGGATGTGAAAGCAGGAATGGTTAACCTAGAGGATGTACCTGAAGATGTAGAGGAAGGGTTGTGATATCATAACTAGTTCCCCTGGAAGATTCAAAATCAATATGGAGTATCCTTCTCTTCCTTTTCTCATCAATCATCAGAAAGGAAGTGTCTGATCATTCAGTGGCCACGTTGAGTTTTTTTTCTGAAGCTGTAGCCTGTAGATTCACAAACAAAACTGCAACAAATCAGCAAGGTTGATTCTCAAGTTTGTTGCTCCTCTAAACATTAAGAAACCAATTACCAAGATAGCGTCTTCACAGAAGTCACAACAGAAATATCCAATCATGCATGTGGACTCATTCTTTTGCACGTATGATGTATCAACTGCAAATACATAATGCAAAAAATTCACGCATAATGGTGATAGAGATGCTAAATATGCCATAGAAGTCCCAATCCAACAGCTTCAATCAATTTTCTTTTGTTTTGCACTGTAAGTTCTATCAATTGCAACGACTAACAAACAAAAAATTTGGTTGCTTTCATTTGTAAGATCTGTAGTGTACGGCTCAAAACAGTCCAAACCTTGATGCATTCTTTGTCTTAACTGCTAAAACCATCGTTCCTGCACAGCTAAGCAAGACCAGCAGAAAAGATGAAGAGAAGGAAATATCAGTGTATCAACCAATCTTAACAGAGTCATTCACCTTCCATAAACACAAATTTGATTCTAAAATAAATACAATGAAACTCATACACTACAAGAGCAGACCAACCTATGATTAAAAGTTAATCAACAGAAGCAGAAATCTCCACTAAAAGGACAAACTAGGCACAAATAATAGTGTTAATTCATGCAAGTTCAGAAAGATTATAGAAATCTGGGAGAAATTATCTATATTAGTTGTTTTTGCCACATAAAGTAGGTGACAGGACAAAATCTCCTTATATAAAATGTTTCTACATGTATGAAACATGAAACGATTCAAGGGTAATCGTGAAAATAGAAACATTCTATATGCTAAACAACTTGTTAGGAAAATACATTCACGGGCACAACTTGTATTAATGGTTGTAATCATGAGATAGTGTATGCAAACAAAGAAGCATCAAGAATTTTGGCTACACTGTGGAGAACTACGCATTCAAATCGAATTGAGTATTGGTTAGTAATTCAAACCAAAAAACCAATAGACTAAAAATAAAACCCATGTGCCTATAATGTTGCTTTTTACAATAAAACTCAACTGTACTTGCTGCGAGTTAGTATGACCAGACACGTTTCAGGTTGTACAGACTACAGACACCATTTGCAAAGAATCTCCAAAAGCATAAATCATGCCAATTACTTATCACAAAAACTGCTTTCATATATTGCAACATATTCCCTGACCACCGCAGAAAATGCATCCTATGCAGCCTTCTACTCCACAAAACTTCAGTTATCCAGTAAAATATGCATACAAGGTAGTAGTTAAACCATACTCTATGGCTAACCAAACAAAACCATTTAGGAATCAGTGAGCTATTATTCAAACATAATCCAAAAGAATAAAATAGGACCAACAATATTTTCAAAACTAGATGGGCTAATGGAATGAATCATCTCATTGAACTGTATTTCAGAATGGATACATGAAGCCTTTACGCAATAATATTTACCTTCTTACATACATAATTGTTATTATCTTATGCTGAGAAAAGGGAATTACAATCCTGTTTTTTTCTGCACGTCTGCAGACGGTTGAATCAAAAGTCTACACATATGAGAGGGGAGTTACCTCTTTGTAATTTTGTATGTTACACAAAGGATGTAATGAAAAATTCAAGACTTATCAGCATAGGGAAATAGCTGAGGCAGTGCAAAAATATCATAGTACCACTTGTACGTACAGAGGAATATGAACAGATGTACATACAATTAGCAAAGATTAATTTTAACTAGAAAAGTTTTACGGTATGGTAAACTTCCTCTGCTTCATTTGTCGACAGGAGGATCCTCAAGCCACTTGGCACGAAACCCAGTTCCTTTGCAATCAGCACAAGTTGCGAAGCCCTGAAATCATATGAATTAATTATATCCAATGCGTGTCATGTAAAATACACATTGATGGAATATCTAGGGAGTCAACAACATATTACTATTTTTCACATGCGGTATTCACAGAATTAAATGGGACAGCACAATCAGAATAAGAACTCCTTCTGATATTCATGGAAGGGAAAAGGGCATACTACCTTTCCAGAGCATATCACACATTTCGTGTTTTTTGAGGGTACTTCACACAACATGTTGTTGCCGAGGATAAAGAAACCTGTGCCGGTACACCACTTGCACTCCACGTGCCCAGCAGATTGACAAGATGAACATGGGTTAGGTCTTGGTTGCTGCAAATCCATCACATGTGAATGTTAGATTGAAGCACAATTGCATGCTGCATACACAATTTAATTTTATTCACCTATTGCTAGCACTGAAACAATGAAGGCATAAAGCTAGAAGAACTTGGGACCTTTCTTAAGTGGCCCTTGTTTGCAAAGAAAATATAGCCATGTATTCTAATTTGCATATCTTGTTATTTTAAGAAATGTACATCCTATATAGCTCATCTCTTAGAACTGCACCAATCAAAGAAGTAGCATTTTCATTTCCTGGTCCATAACTCCATATTCAAATTAGATTGCTGCCGTGCACACTGTTAAAATTGTGATCAGAATTCATTCGATTATTGCCTTTCTAAATATAGGCCCTTACAAGTACACTAACTCTCCATGTGATCCCTATAAATATATCCCTGTTGGCCCAGGGAAAACACAATAGAACAAGTCAGCTCCATTGTAATTATCCACAAAATAATGATTATGCCTTTGTGGCGCACCTTTTTTTAATCCTCGGAGGTTTTCCAAGTTATGTCTGGTGTTCATCTATTTTGCTGTGTGATTCCTAAGAAGTGGCAAGCATTCCATATCATATCATTTGCAAAACAAACACACCAAGCACGACTTTTTGCGTGCAATGATATGTATGGTTGAATTAATCATGTGATGCAGTTGCACTCCTGGGATATCAAACTCGCGTTAAACTGACGAGTCCTTTTGACAAAAACAGTGCATGATTTACCATAGACTACCGTTGTTAGAAATTTCTTCAGAACATGGATAACTAGTTTAAAGATCACACACAAGTACATACAGATTCAGTAAATGTGTGGGCCAGCTAAGTTTCCCAACTACAGAATTCACCATCCACAAAGCATATTATTCCTGGCGGAATGAACCGTTTCGAATTTATTGTTCTATATAAATAAGTTTCTCCAGTCTGAATATCCAACTCTGTGTATTTTCGCGCAATAATTCCACACAATTTCCTCTCTGTTGTACACACGTTAAATCCAAATTCCGGGAGAGACGGAGAATTGCAACCTATCCTCATCACAATTGAACAACGGGGTCAATTCCAGGTAGAAGAAGCTAGGTCAACGTGATGGAAACCTCCTAATGCGATCATACGGAAAACAATTTCTGAACAGAACGCATAAGTAAAGTAACAGGCATCAAACCGACAGGCAAATTCCCAACTCGAGCGCACCTGGGAGATGAGCCACGCGCGCTCCATGCGCTTGGCGAAGTCGGAGGAGCTCCCGGGTGAGTCGATGGTGGAGGCCATGGGAGGGGGAAGGCGGAGGAGCCCTAGCCGCAGCGCGGGCGGAGCAGGGACAAGGGCCCGGAAGCGCCCGGGAGGCCACGGGGCGCGGGCGGGGCGGGGGGAGGGGAAGGCGGCCCCCGCGCGGGCGCCGCAGGCCATCGCCGGCATCCTTCGTTCGCCGCCGCGGCGAGGGTCTCGGAATCGGAGAGAGGCGGAGGAGGATGTGAGATGGAGGTCAGGCGAGCGAGAGGCGCAGGCTTCGCTGCTGCGGCCGCCGCCGCCGTGGGCTTCGTATTTACCACGCGCGTGGCTACAGGTCACCGGTGAACGGCAAGGGCTGTTCGGTCACTGACGGGTGGGCCACATAAGCGTAGGGCCTAGGGCCAATCGCGGGTTCGCGTGTGGTTGGTTGGTCTCTGGCTTGCCGGGTCCAGGTGGCCCTCCTGGTGCTGAATTTTCTGCCCTTTTTTTTTTTTGTAAAATGCGCGGTGCGGGTTTCTTTCTATGAACAACATGGCTGAAGGAGTTGGGAAAAAATAATTTTGAACCTAATGTAAATAGATAAAAGTCCATTTTGTGTCGAACTTTTACAAAGTGTAAAACAACATCTCTAACCATTAATATCGAACACAATTTTATCTTTCAAAATTTCAAACAATTTACTTTACAATCATCAGAGTATCAAATAAAAGGGTTTGGCTTAAATGACACTTGCGTCATGTCCCTACTTATACTTAGCATATATTTTTTTAAAAATAAAATCTACTTGTCACCCAAACATTTCTTCATACGACTTGAATAGGGTGATGTTCTAATCTTCACGATGTAGGATCACGAACCAATAATTGTCTCAATACCAAGATAACTAGCTGCAAGCAGTCAAATGTAACAATACAATCTGATGATCGTACTCAAAGCCAATCACCATCTCTATTACGACAACTTGAGTTGAGGGTTTGCTCAACCACACTCTAAATTAACAACCATCACAACATGCAATTCTATCAAGGGAAACCTCGAAGGGAGTAGGCACACCAATTAGGGAGTGTTGAATGCCACTTCTATAATCTCACAAGGAAATCACAAAGATCGTGGGTAGAGATCTCTCACTGAATTTTTTAGCACATAGCTAAACAAAAAAGTTCATATTTTCATTGTCAAAAGTTTTCTAAATGATATAGCATGAGGGGTATTTATACTTGGAACATCCCTCGGAGTAAATTGGCAAGCTGAAAGGTCTCAAAAAGTTATTCCCAAGCTGGTTTGCAAGGCCATTTCAACTTCTATGCAGTCTCCACTGAAAATAGACATTACTCCCTCATGCGAAGTCGAAACGACTAGCTGTTTGATGCGTTTGAAATTATACTTGATAAGCTTTCCAATCATATGTATCATGCATGGTGAAACATGGTTGGCTTGATCACACATCTATTGAAAATTGAACCAATTGCGTGTAATTGGTCTGCTCGTCGGTGTCAACCATCTCGATTTGAGCAATGACCACTTCATCTTCTTTGTAATTCATCCCATCCTTGATGTAGACATTTGTTGTTGTAGCAATGACATAATCCTCGGATATAAACCTTTTGTTACATTTTTATTGATGATGTTGAGTACTCTATCCTTGGTTGGCACAATCTCTTGGTGATGGAATCATAACATGGCTTAGCGTAGTCGATCCTCGAGATGGTGGTACAACTCTAATTGATGGTTTACATTCAAATGATAGCAAATGTAATGCACGGTTACTTTGTCTTGGTGTGATGGTGGTATTTATCAAGTAAACAATCGGAATCAAGCCTCACTCTTTAAAGCACAGTAATACTTCCTCCGTCCCAGAAAATGTGTCGTTTTAAGGTTTCTTAGCCAAATTAACTTGCTGTCAAAAAGACCAAAGTGCCCCCCATTTATTTGATTCAGTTCTTGATCCTGTACCATCGTTGTTGACAGCGCATATGTGTGGCAGGCTGGCAGGCAGGAGTAGTCCCTCCATCGCGTGCATGGAGCAGGCTACGCATGCCACGACCACCTGCTCGGGCAGCTCTAGCAGGTTGACAGAATAGAAAAATCAAATGAAAGTGAAGACTTGACAGAATAGACTAGATGCCTCCACTTGATAACACTACAACGACATGTTTTACGAGATTTTACCGCGCCTAAAACGACATGTTTAATGGGACGGAGGAAGTATGCTTTAATATACAATCATACGGGCCAGGCAACAACATTGTCTTTTGAAAATAACAATATTCTGAGTTAAAGCATTTTCTTTCTTTAAGAATAACGGAGTTAAAAGCTCTAACCTTGTATAAATGTGTAATAATAATAACAATCTGATTATGTATGGATGGCGTTGGTCGATCCTATGCAAGGTAAGAGCATAGGTGAAGGCCCTCTTTGTTTAGGCTTATAAGTCAACTTATAAGTCGAAAAGTCTAAGCCAAAACAAACAAGCAGCTTTTTTATTTGGTTTTTTTGAAGCCATAAGTCACTCTAACACAATTAAGCCAAAAGCTAGGTTGGAGAAGCTTTTTTGGCTTATATGAGATAGATGTATGACTCCACCACTAAACCTAAGACATTAAATCTACTGGCTTATAAATCATATAAGCCAATAAGCTGACTTTAAAAGTCTAGCCCAATAAACCTAAGCCTAAACAAAGAGGGCCGAAGTAGTTCGGGCATGAGGGCTGAGATGAAGGTTAAGAGGCTAGCATTCGTTGGAATCCTCAATTACAGGGGAAAATGAGAGGAATACACGCTGCTCTTAATTTGGTTGGAATCCTTATTAACGTTAACTACAGTACCCACATGTTATTATTTAGTGGTTAGCCGGCACGACTATTATTATTACCATATTACCCAACATTGATCACGTGCCAGATCCCTCTCCGTCCAAACCAAACCAGTGTGAAACACCCAGCAGCAGTCCAGTACCGACCCACCGACCGTGGTGGGAACCCCGACCCAACCCCACCGATCCATCCAACCCCAAACCAAAACCGACGCACGCGCACCCCGCCCGCGCCCAACCCCCGCGCCTGTGTGGCTCACCTTCCCCTCTCCCCCACACTACCACCTCCACCACCTCCACCCTCCCTCCCTCGCCGAATCCCCCGCACTCGAATGTGACGCGCTCCACCGCGCCACCGCCTCCGCCGCCGCCGACGACGACGTCATGCCGGCGCCGACCGCCTCGTCGCTGGCCGCCGCGGCGGACCCTGCGCTCCCCGCCGCGTTCCTCTCGCTCCCGTCCCCGCTCCTCCCGGCCTCCCCTCCCCTCCCCGCGGCCCCCGCCCCCTCCTCCAACGCCTTCTGCGTCCCCCGCGGCCCCGCCCGCGCGGTCGCCGTCTCCGTATCCGTCTCGGCCTACGGCGCGGGCTCCACCGCCGCGGCGTCGCGGCTCCACCGGATGTGGGCCGAGTTCTCCCGCTTCGTGCGGCTGCACGGGAACCAAATCGCGCCGCTCGGGTTCGCGTCCCTCGGCCTGGGCGTTGGAGGCGGCGGCGGTGGGAGCGGCGAAGGGGCCGGCGGGGGAGGCGGGGGCGGAGGTGGGGAGGTGGATGGGTTGGTTGAGGAGGAAGGGGTGGCGCGGGCCGAGGCGCCGAAGAAGGTGCTGATCCTGATGAGCGACACGGGCGGCGGGCACCGCGCTTCCGCCGAGGCCATCAAGGCGGCGTTCATCCAGGAGTTCGGCGACGACTACCAGGTTCGGTTTATCCTGCCAGCTTGGCGTGCTCACCTGATTGTGATGTGCTTGGGATTCGTTTGTTACTTTGTAGCTGTTGCTTGCTAAGCTCTGATATTAATTTTATCTTTATATGTTATAGTACTAATTTAATATCCGCACATTTAGAGTTAATTCGCTGCTTCGCTATTTAGAGTTAATTCGCTCCTTCGCTCATACGTCGTTGGATATGGTGGTTGAGTATCTGAGTGCTTGAATACAGTGACGTGCCACCTTCGTTAGGTCTATCATCTATGTGCGCACAATCACTGCCTATTATAGAAAATGGTTCCCTAGGCTACAAGGGAGCGAGCCTAGCTAGAGCAGTGCGATATGCTTTCTTTAGGAAAGTGAAATTTAACTTTTAAGTCGCGTTTTGTATAAAGCTCGCATAGTATTTGACATGTACCAGGTTCAGCTGTATGTTTGTCAGAGTTAAGGCCTAGTATTTGTCCACAGTAACTGTTACGCGTTGCTGTCTTTTCAGTGGAATATGCGTTAAGGAGGGTTGTTGTGGAAATTTAGGGAAGGACTATAAGATTTGGAGAAAGAAACTTACTGGGAAAGGGAATTGGATTTGATTAAATCTAGCCATTGTTGCGTCGCTTACCTCTGGCACCTGAGCTTATATGGCCAGTCCTCTTAACGCACAAATTCTAGTGGATCCAAATAGCCAGTCGCAGCTGACTTAGGCCAGAGGGGCTACTGCTGATGTCAACTTTATGCACAGACAAACCTTTGTCACCCACTTTTCTCCGCTTGTAGCCTTAAGCAGCAGTTCCTTTCTTACATAATTTTATCTTCGCATTCTTTACTTGCCTTAGATCGCTGGTTTCCAAATTCTTCTGGTTTCTTCACTTGTATGTCTCCTGTTCAACAGCAAGATTGTCATCATCAGATTAACTTGCTACCAAATGCTGTGTTGTAAAATTATATTGTGGCATATAGTAGTTACTAGTTAGGATGGAAGAGAGCCCATGGAATAGAAACACAGAAATAATTCAAATAAGCCAGCTGATAAACGGTAATTGCAAGTGCCATAGTATATGACTTTTATACATGAGAGGGTGGGACATGCCCTTTCGAATTGTTGTGTACAACTGTGGTACTTTGATCTGTGTAATATCTGCTAAACTTTCTTTTAGCATGATAATAACCAACAAAAAATATTTGTTATCTCTTCAGTAGAAATTTAAATGTTTTTTTTATGAATATTTAGATTGGCCTTATGTTAATAATGAGTAGATTTGTCTCTCATAATAAATTAACATTACAAGTTCATTATGTTAGAAACATAATACTGTATAAATTGCTGTTCAATATATTTTGAAAGTCATGCCAATGCACAAGCTTACCTGTGACCAGTAGGAAGTATTTTGTGTTTATTGATGTTCCTGATTCTTTTTTCACATAATGCTGTAGTTCGAGTAATTGAAGAGGAAGAGTCGTGTGCTTATGGAAATCTTTACTGCCATCAGCTATAATTTCTTTTCTCTTTCTGCAATAAAATAATGACTTAGCAGGAGATGATTTAGCATGTTTTGTAGTCCTGTGCTTGCTACTCCCACCGGGTTAATAATACTTGTCGTTTTGGACAAGGGCACGGT